CTTCCTGCAGCTACACATTAGGCCTCTCCAACCTGGCCGCGGGGAAAATAACAGGGGCTAGGGCCAGACCATCAGATGCTAAGCCTCTTTATCTGCTGGGAGGAGACTCTCCAATGTGCTGCCTTGTTCATAGATGGTGTGGTTGCAAGAAACAGAAACCCACTCCAAATAACTCAGGCAATCATGGAATTAATTATAAGGATATAGAAGCACAAAGTGTAAGGGCAGGAGTCACACCCTGGCTGCACAAGCACCGGGAGCGGGGTCTGGCAAACCATGAGAAACCCGTTTGTCTGTCTTTCCATCTATCACTCTTCCTGAAGCCATGTAGCCTTTTATATCTGCTTATCTTTGTGCATCTCCTTCATTTTCCCCTCTCTGAAGCTGGCTTTTCCTGTCCATTCCTCCCTTGATGAAATATGGACATTCTGTCTTCACATTACTTCCTAACTCAGGGGCCAACAGAGACTGACTAGCATCTTGCTATCCCACATCCAAAGTGCATCAGGGCAATCCAGTTTCCCTGCTTGAGTTAGAGAGCTTACCCTGGTGCAGTCATCTGAGGCCAGGTGAGTGGGACCATCTAGCACAAATGTAGCCGAGGGGGCTGATCTGATGGGGCAGGTCTCAAACAAATGGGGCTGTTTCTTGGACAGACATCCCAAAAGACCACTATGCTGGTGGCTTCTTTGAAAGAGGGGTTCCTGGGAGGAATTGCTTCCTGTTTCCCAGGGTGTTAGAGGATTCATACCTACCACACTCCAGGGGAGGTGGTGTGGTAGGAATAGGCCTGAAGAAGAGGTCAGGAGGTTCTAACCTTTTCCACTGTCTGAGGTTCAGCTTCTCCCTTCCATAGAATAAAAGGAGTTGGGCTACAATGAGGTTCTCAAACATTTTTAAATAGTAGAATCCTTCCTTTAATTACAATTCTGCATGGACGTCCAATACAGAGAGATTAAAAGCAAATAGACTCTTGTCAGGTGGGAGACTTAGCTTTCCTATTCTGTGATTCCCTCTTCCTCAGGCCCTCAAAGCAACTCCACAGAGCTACCAGGGGCAAAGCTTTGGGACTCCTTGGGACATGTGGACTCTAATATCTCTTCCAGAATAAAGTACATGGAATTCCGCTTAACTAGAGCCAACCCCTGCTGTTTGTCTGTCTGTTTATCGCTTATCTATCCATCATCTATCACTTATTTATCTATGTATCTATCTATCCATCCATGTGTCTATCTGTCTATTATCTGTTGTTCTACCTGCCTGTCATCTAGCTAGCCAGCTAGCTAGTTACATCTTTTTTGTTTTCAACCAATGGGCATGCTATCTGAGTAACAATCATTCATTCGGTCAACACAAATTTGCTGAGTAACTGCTATCTGTATCCCAGTTCCAGGGGCTTGGGTACAATAGTGAATGGGACACAGTCCCCTCCCATCAAAAGTTTACAATCCTGATCCTGATGAACACAGACACACACAGAGGCACTCACAGACCACACTCATACACAGACCCGCTTACCCTCAGGCTCAGGCCCTGCACACCTGACACTTTCATCCACACTAATGGACACATTCTAACAGATGCACACATCAGCCTCACATGCCAACACTCATTTGCACATGCAGAGAGCCTGTATTCTCTGGCCCAGCATTACATATTTCCTGCCTTGAATAACTTTGTAACAACTGACATTTGTTAACATGCCCTATTGACTAGGCATTATTTTAAGTGCATTATTGGCATTGTATTAGTCCACCCTCACATGAGACATTGAAGATAGGTACTATTATTATCCCCAATATCGAGATGAGTAAACCAAGGCCTAAAGAAGATAATTACTCACCCAAGGGCCTATAGCTTTAAAA